AGCTTTCCCAGGAGTCTCCCCTCCAGGTACTGGCCAGGCTCACACCTGCTGGGCTCCAGTGGGCTGCCAGCTGGGAGCTGCAGGGTGATATATAAGAAGTCCACATTCTAAAACGTCTTCTGAGCACAAAAAAAACGAGCTGAAATGTGGAGGTGGCTCTGGATAGAACAGGGGGTTTGGAGCCAGCAGCTGGTGAGTCAGGAGGTGGGGAGCGGACCAGCCACCCAGGGCAGGACTGTGGTGCTCGTCGGCCCTCTGCACTTTCACTCCGAAAATGTGCCAGGAGAGGGGTCAACGCCAGTTGAATTTTGTTGATTGACAAGATGCTCTTTAAACTGTTCTCATGCTAAACCAGGCGATTGCTGGGGCGAGTCGAGAGACCATCACTTCCACACTTCTAGTTTCTAGAACAGCTGCTCGAGAGCGCGTGATTGTAGATGTGGAGAACCGAGAGTCGATCGCCAGCGTGTTGTTTCAGCTCGTTTTTCGTCAGTCACTAGTGTTTCCCTCCTTCGTAGGCCCTAACAGTTTCCCAGGCCCTAGGTACTGTGCCTGCACTGCCTACAGCGCCTAATGGGAAATACAGCACAGCAGCCACCCCTACATAAGGACTGAAGCAGAGCAGGCAGGTCTATAAATCAGCCAGCAGGGAGCTGGATTATCACATAGCAGACAGTGTCAGACACTCAGGAGGGTGGAAAGGTCATTTCCTGTCAGGAACGTGCAGGTAATCGAGACTTTCAGTTCACGACTTATTAAGATCCGGGAAACAGGAAAACTGTAGCTTTCCACATGCGAAATTGAGCCCTTAAGACGGGGGGAGGGGACCTCACAGAGCAGGGTGGTCCTTTACGATCCAGGGCTCCCCCTGGTGGGGAGAATTTGTCGTAGCCGCCCTGACCACCAGCTGCATCTGGGGGGGCGCCCTCCGCAGGTGGAGGTGACCTACCCAGACGGCAGCCCCGCGGACCGGGTGCGAGTGCGGGTGAAGGCGGAGCTGACGCCCAAGGACAACGTCTACACCAGCGAGCTGCTGTCCCGGGACGGGCGGGTGGAGTTCGAGATCCCCTCCATCCCCACGGCTGCCCAGTACGTCTGGCTGGAGGTCAGTTGGGGGGTGTTTGGCGGGTGGGGGGGGGACGAGTGAGCAGCGGAAGGTGGGCGAGTGGCGATCACTCGGAAGAGGGATTTTTGGGACGGAGTTGGGGAACAGGGTCAGTGGCTTACAGGGCAGGTGTAGCAGAGTGAGAGGAAGGGGTAGGACTGTTCCCAGTCTTCTGTCCAACACTGTCTGATGAAGAGGGAGTGAGGTGCTGTAGGACTAGGTAAAGGCTTATTCCATGCTGAAAGGAAAAGAAAAGAGATAACGTTTCAGCTGTGGAGTCTTCCTCAGACTTCTTCGTCAGGAGATCAAGTAGTAGCGTCACTCCTAGGACAGGGAAAGGCCCCTCTGCTTGACACGCGCGTTGTTCACATTGCCCTGTGAAACTCCTCCAGACCAAGGTGACGGCGATCGACGGCCAGCCAGCAGGAGACCAGTACCTGCCCAGCTACCTGTCCATCAGCAGCTGGTACTCCCCCAGCAAGTGCCACCTCCAGCTGCAGAGCCCTGGCGCACCGCTGCAGGTACGCGTCTGTCCGTCTCACCTGCCCGAGGCCTGGGCACTGAGAGTGTCACCAGCCGCGTCTCGCCCACCCCCCGTGCTGGCCTGGGGCCCGATGGTCTCAAAGGGCCACTGCAATCCCGATTTCTCCTCCCGGCAACAAAATGAATTCACTGATGGTATAGAAGAATTTTACAAACCTTCAAATTAAGCGCAGAATCGTGAACTTGGTGAAAGTACTATCAGTCACCATGGTCTTGCATTCAAGTTCCCACAAATTGTGAACTGAAGCAGCCCTTCCTGCTCACTAGTCCCTGTAATGTGATGTGCGAGCGAATCAAATTAATGAGCACAGGTTGTGCAGCAGACATTCCACCACAGAAATGTCACAATGTGATCTGCATGCAGAGTTAAAAAGTGGTATTTCTCTGCGAAACCATCTCGAAGTCAAGAGCAATATTGCTATTGGATTAGAAGAGGTGTATTCACAAGCCTGCCGGTTTACAATATCACAGGACCGCAACACGTCGCCGGAAGTTTTGTTGCCTCGTTCCGAATCGCTGAAGATGGCGCTGCTCATACCTGGAAATGGTCTATTTTGTAAATTGGAGTTTTTGCACGTTGCTGCTTTCATTGTGATTGGAAGTGCCAAATCTTTCTAAACCCGAAATATAAAAATAGTGTTGCAGTTCAGTTCCCCTTTAACTGGACCAGTGTAACCCTTCGCTTCAGATCTCCAGCCTGTTCTGGTTTTAAGGAGTCCTGTAAAACCTACGGGAGCTGTGCTCCACTGCTGTGAAGAATGGGGAAAGACTCTAGTGTCCATCAGCATGTTAAATGCCTTAATCAGATCAGTTCAGCTTGCAGCTTCTTGCAGCTTTAAATGTGTTGGCATTTTTTAAAAAAACTATCTAGACTGCTAAAACAGTAGTCCTACAGATCTAGGATAGGGGGTTCCCTGATTTGTTGAGCAATTTAAGAAATTAGTAGGATTAAGGCTCAAGACCCCCTCAAATCTGATCGGATGTTTACTGGACCCCCAGACAGCAGGGAATTCTGGTCCAGTTTTTCAGTGCAGAGCTTCAGGGCACATCGCACAGTTCAATGTAGCCCATCCTCTTCCACAACCAGAATTAAGGGACTAGTTTAAGCATTTAGCCTTGCAGGGCTGTCTGTCTGAAGGCATGGACACGCAGTTCGGAATATTTCACCATGTTTGCTCCTGTCGTGCTTGTGGGTCTCTGTGTAGGTGGGTCGGGAGGCCCAGATTGCTCTCAAGTCCACCTGCCCGTGCAACTTCTCTCTGCATTACGAGATTGCTTCCCGCGGCAACATCATCCAATCTGGGCTCCAGCCCGCCAATATCACTCAGTACCGGGGCAAGAGGGCTGCTGTCACCTTCGACAAGAACATCCACACCACAGCGCCCCCTAGCGCTTCTGGTGAGTGTCTAGCCTGTCCACACAGGCAACAGAGTTGCTCATTGCAGCCTCTGGAGGATTTTTAATGCAGAGGTAGGTTCCTCCTGCTGGGTTCGATTAAGACGGTCAAAACGTTTGCAAAGGCTTTGAAGGATCTGGAGATCTGGAGAATGAAAACTAAGGGGGTGAGCCGAGGGACGCCTCTCACTCTCTCTTTCTGCCCCGCCCAGGGGCAGCTCCCCCGCCGCTGCCGGAGGAGACAGACAGCTGTGTGGCGGTGCTGGGGTTCCTCGTGACGCCCGCCATGGCCCCGCTCAGTCGCCTGCTGGTCTACTACGTGCGGGACAACGGCGAGGGTGTGACGGACAGTATCCAGCTCCCCGTGCAGCCCGCCTTCGAGAACCAGGCACGTGTATACTGTCCACACCGTCCTTCCTGAATGTGGTCCATCAGGCCTCTGGAGACTGGCATGTGTGACGGGGACTGGGGTGAGTGGTGGGGACTGGACTGTGGTGGAGACTGGGGTGTGTGATGGGGACTGGCATGAGTGGTGGGGACTGGGGTGTGTGGTGGAGACTGGACTGTGGTGGAGACTGGGGTGTGTGGTGGGGACTGTGGTGAGTGGTGGGGACTGTGGTGAGTGGTGGGGACTGTGGTGAGTGGTGGGGACTGGGGTGTGTGATGGGGACTGGCATGAGTGGTGGGGACTGGAGTGAGTGGTGGAGACTGGAGTGTGGTGGAGACTGGGGTGTGTGGTGGAGACTGGACTGTGGTGGAGACTGGGGTGTGTGGTGGGGACTGGCATGAGTGGTGGAGACTGGGGTGTATGATGGGGACTGGAGTGAGTGGTGGAATCTGGGGTGTGTGGCGGGGACTGGGGTGCTCTATGGCGGTGATGCTGCAATATCTATAGAGGATCAAGGACATCACTGTCTGTCCATCTGCAGGTGTCCATCTCTCTGTCCACAAATGAGTCGATGCCAGGAGACTCGGTCAGTATCCGTGTCCGAGGGGAGAAGGGCTCCTGTGTCTGTGTGGCTGCAGTGGACAAGAGCCTGTATCTCCTGAAACCTGGCTTCCAGCTCACCAAGGACAAGGTAAGTGAGAAAGAGGTACTGGACCTGAACTCAAACTAAGTTATTACATTAATTATAAAGAAGCTAACTATAAATTAAAATAAGGCATTACAGTACTAGACATAGCCGGACTAAATTACCGGGGAGCATTGGCCTTAGGTGTTCCATCAGTTTGTGCTGTACTGTCTGCTCCTTATTCTCCCTCCAGGTCTTTCAGGAGCTCAGGGAGTTCGACGTCTCGGATGCCTTTGGAATCCCAAAGGATGAGGGGCACTTCTGGTGGCCGGGGCTGTCGTCACGGCGACGCCGGAGGTCCTCTGTGTTTCCATGGCACTGGGACATCGCCAAGGACGCCCGCTTTGCCTTCACTGTGAGTCTGAGGGCCCCGCCCCCTGCGCCGCAGCATGGTTACTTGACAGGACTGCCTTTACAGCAGGGGGGCTGTGTCTGGGCTTTTCTTCCTAGCCATCTCTTAATTGCTTAATTGACCTCATTGATTAATTGTTCCAAACTGATCCTTGAGCCAGTGACCTATAATCAGTGCGGATCTTTCCCTGGTGTGTGTCCCATCCAAAGGGCAGTAGAAATACTTGCTGAATTCAACAAGTGGCTCTGTGGCTCAGGATCTGCACCTGTGGCTGGAAGGTTGCAGGTTCAAATCCTGCAGACGGCAGAGGAAACCTACTCTGTTGGGCCCCTTAAGAGCAAGGCCCTTAACCCCAACTGCTCCAGGGGCGCTGTATAAATGGCTGACCCTGTGCTCTGACCCCAAGCTTCTCTCCCTGTCTGTGTGTCTCATGGAGAGCAAGCTGGGGTATGCGAAAAGACAAATTCCTAATGCAAGAAATTGTATAGGGCCAATAAAGTGATCTGATCTTAAGTTCTAAAATTAAAAAAACAGGAGTTGAACTGAACAACATTGATCCTGCAGGGGGTCTTTGTTCTATCCAAGTTCTTAATTTATTGACCCAACTGTTTGGCTTCATTGGTGAAACAGGACACTTGTTCCAGGGTATTTAGTGATGTGGGGAGACCTGTGCACCCCTGTGACTTTCAGGGAAGAGGTGCGACCCTCTTCTGCTCTGCAAGGTTGAATCCCTTCGTCCGGTAGTCATGGTAACACCCGGGCCGCTGTTGCCCCCTGACGCGCGCTGTCTGCTGGTCGTCTAGGAGACGGGGCTGGTTGTCATGACGGACCTGGTGAGCCTGAATCACCGGCAGAGCGAGGGCATGTACACCGACGAGGCCGTGCCCGCCTTCCAGCCGCACACGGGCACGCTGGTGGCCGGCATGCACCCCCGCGCCGCGGCGAGGTAACGAGGGGGCACTAGCACCGCAGCTGGACATCGGGGATAAGCGGGAACAGGGATGTGGGATATTTGGGATTGCGTGGGATCGGATGAAAGCAGGGCCGGCTCAGCGGAGAGAGGTGCTGCCCCGTGGCGCTGGGGCACCGGATTGAATTCCGCACTCTGGGGTGCTGTCTGCGTGGAGTTTGCATGTTCTCCCCATGTTCGAGTGGGTTTCCTCCCACAGTCTGGTAGGTTAATCGGCTTCTGGGAAAATTGGCCCTAGGTGTGAGTGTGTGTTTGTAATTATTGGTCTGTGTGCCCTTTGTGACTGGCGACCAGTCCAGGGTGTACCCCTCCTTGCACCCGTTACTTACTGGGATAGGGTCTAGCTGCCCCGCGACCCTGTACTGGATAGCCGTTAGGACACGGAGGGATGGATGAATGGCTGGAGCACCAGGAATGTGAAGGGAGATCAACAGAAATGAAAGTGACGGGTTTCTGTTGTGTTGTGTTGCAGAGCCGAGAGGCGCAGACGGTCCTTCTTCCCGGATACGTGGGTCTGGCGCTGCCTCAATGTCAGGTACCAGCTCGGCCCGGCTCGGCCCCGCCCAGTCTGCCTCCTCAGACACTCTGGGCCCTCTAGGTTCACATCACAATTAATCAAGCGCTTTGCAAATTACATCACTCCCCCCCAACTGAAGTGCAGCTCCCATCTGAGTGACACACAGCACGCAGATCTGGTGGGGGGGGGGAGAGAGAAACTGCTACACCAGCTGAAATAAGGGGGAGTTAAGATTGCACATGCCCAGCCCAGAGGGGGACACCCGTTTACAGCCTGGAATACTTGTGAACTTGCAGTGGAAAAGAAACTATTCATGTCAGCCTTGTGCATGAGCGTCTGAGCAGGGCCTCCTGTGATGCCCAAGGCCAGATGTTTGTCTCCTGTATATTGCATCAATCCCAGTGTATACTGCAATATACAGTTTGTAACGGCAATAATCACATTTTTACGCCTTTCCTCACGGATAGGCAGGTACGTGTTTTTAAACACCAGGATTGTTTTCCCGGTCTTTTCCTTTTGTTTCGGATCCTCCTCTCCCTCTCTCTCCCCCCCCCGATGCTCTGGAGGAGCGAATGGTTACACGGATCACATATTTTGGCCCTCGCCCAGAGTCGTGAGTGCTCTCATGTGTGAGAGGAAAAACCTTGTTGCTGCTCGTGGGCTGTCGTCCCAGAGGAGCCTGGGACCGGGCGAGACAGAGGTTCTGGAAGCTGTGCGGGTGCATGGACTCTGGAGCGATTCCAGGATTCGGAGCAGGGGGAGAAGGGAGCGAAGGGCACTGCAGCACACGGATAAGAGCTTCTCCGGTCACGCGGCGCGCCCTTCTCTTGCGCCTGGGCTCTCCGAAGGCGGCTGGCTTCTCCCTCCGTGGCTCAGCGAGGGAAGGAGTCCGGCTCCCGTTGGGCAGCGGCGCGATCCGTTTCGGGTCTTTCTGCCCTGGGCTGTCTTTCCTTTCTCATCAACTGCACAACTAACAGCCCTGCGCCTGTCGAAGCAGATTTATTTGACATGCAGTAAGAAGCATGAAGTGTCCGGCAGCTGGCGTTAGCTTCCCTACAGTCAGAGCCGTGCCACTGGTAAAACGTGGAATGGCTTGGACTGCTGTGCAGCCGGAGTCCCAGAACTGTTTCTAAACTTTATAGATCAGGCAATAGAAACTTATAATGAATAGCCAGGGCTGTTTCCAAATCGGCCTGCTCCGCTGTAGCAACACCCTGCGTGGTAATTGGCATACTGATCCTACACATTACTCCTATCCTGGAGTCCTTGCACTGGCTTCCAGTCAAATTTCGTGTAGACTTTAAAATCCTCCTGCTCACCTATAAGGCTCTGCATGGCTTGGCACCTCAGTACCTGTCTGAACTATTATCGCCCTACTCCCCACCTCGCAACCTTTGCTCTTCCAATTTTGCTCTTGTTACTGCCCCCCAAGCCCGTCTACATTGTATGGGTGACAGGGCCTTCTCCTGTTATGCCCCCAAGCTCTGGAACTCTCTCCCCAAGGATATCAGAGAGTCACCTTCTCTAAACTCCTTCAAATCCAGACTCAAAACCTTCTTCTTTAGAAGAGCCTTTACTTGACTGGTTCCGTTCTTCACCCCTCTGCTTTTCTTAGTACCACCATCCACGGTCTCCTCTGTATATTGTAATTGTGTTTAATTTTGTGTGTTCTTTTTATTTGTCATTCTGTAAAGCACGTTGAGAAGCCACCTTTAAAGGTGCTATATAAAATAAAATTTATTATTATTATTATTATTATTATTACAAAGTACCCATGAAACTGTTAAGTATCTAGGAGGAGCAATTGCACTGCTGCAGGGCATCATCTTACTGTCATATGCAAGAGAAATTAGGCGGAGGGGTTTAGGTTCCTAGAGGGTCAAGAGTTTCGGTCACCGGTGCTGTGGTATCATACGCTTGAGAGACACCTTGTCCTGGTTGTTCCTCTGCACCCAGCTCTGTCGGTGGGTACCAGCTGAGCTCTGTCCTGTCCAGAGACAGACATGTGCCATGTGTGTGCAGCTCCGCAGAAGCTAGCAAAGCACTTGAGCAAGAGGCGAGAGCTCTCGAATCCGACGAAGCTGAAAATGAATAAATCCAGCGCCCGCCCTCTTTCACTCGCAGTGACGTCACCGGAGAAGCCGAGCTGAGGCTGGACGTCCCGGATTCCATCACCACCTGGGTGGCGGAGGCGATCGGCCTGTCGGAGACCCGGGGGCTGGGCCTGGCCCAGAGCGCGGAGCTGCGCTCATTCAAGCCCTTCTTTGTGGAGTTCACCCTCCCCTACAGCGTGATCCGGGGGGAGCAGACCAAGGTCCTCCTCACAGTCTACAACTACCTGCCCACCTGTGCCGAGGTGAGGCGGAGAGGCAGGGGCAGAGGGGCAGGGGCTAGGGCTAAACGCTACCAGCTGGAAGGCTGTGGGTCCGAGCCCCAGCTGCTGTTCCCCTGAGCTGGATACCTCACCCAGACCCAGCTGTATGAGTGGGGGGCAAAAGTCTGTTTGGATAAACGCATCAGCCAGACAGATCTGTATCAATGTGACAACTTAGCGGAGTTCTCTCTAGCACAGAAACTTTTTGGAAGATAATAATAATCATCATCATAATACAGAACATTTCAGGAACTTTATATATATAAATCTAAATATAATATTTAACTGCTCTTAAAGTACTGTAAGTGCAAAGGAGAGAAACACCCATAATATTGTATCTTAAGGGAAACATACTGTCATTAATGATTGGACTGGCAAGATTTATACAAGTCAAAAGTTTGGAATTTTATGCTGCTGATGAGATGGAATAGTTCAAAGGTTATCTGCAAAAGTTTAGGAATGGAATACAGATTAAAAACTATTAAGGCAGTTAAGGGTTCAATGGTTTAAGTCTGAACTTACAGTATGTAACCCTGCACTGTCTGTTCCACCCATTTCCCAGGTGCACATCAAAGTCTCTGTGCCCAAGGGGATCAAGTTTGTGGGGCATCCTGGGAAACATCACCTGACCCGGAAGAAGTGTGTTGCCCCTGGAGAGGCCACGCCCACCCCCATCGTCCTGTCATTCACTGAGCTGGGTGTGGCCAATATCACAGGTAAAGCACAGTCTCCTAACGCTGTTATGAGCCCCAAGTCCGAGCCTGTTCCAGTGGAGACTGGGGTGTGTGGTAGAGATTGGACTGTGGTGGGGACCGGGGTGTGTGGTGGAGACTGGGGTGTGTGATGGAGACTGGGGTGTTTGGTAGAGATTGGACTGTGGCGGAGACCGGGGTGTGTGGAGGAGACCGGGGTGTGTGGAGGAGACCGGGGTGTGTGGAGGAGACCGGGGTGTGTGGCGGAGACCGGGGTGTGTGGCGGAGACCGGGGTGTGTGGCGGAGACCGGGGTGTGTGGCGGGGACCGGGGTGTGTGGCGGGGACCGGGGTGTGTGGCGGGGACCGCAGTGGGGCTCAGCTCTGCTTGTCTCGGCGCTCCTGTCTGCTGCAGCGCGGGCCGTGGCGTACAGCGAACCTGGCTGCTGCACGGACGGCCTGCAGGCGCCCAGGTCACCGAAGAGCCCGGAGGACACGGACGCGGAGAGGAAGGCCCAAGCCGGGCTGGACCATGTGCGGAGGAGTGTGCGGGTCGAGGTGAGAGAGAGAGAGACGACCTCAGCCACACGATCCAGCCTGATCATGGGCGCCGAAGGTGGGAGTGAAGTGAATTGTTAACCAGCAAGACACATTTGCCTCAATTAAACCTGTGCTGTCCTGAGGAGCACCTGCTGCAGGCCCTGGTGCTATAAACCAAGAGTGGTCAGCAAGCTTAATTGACACTTAATTGCTTAGTTGGTCCTTAGTCTCTGAGTGGATCTTTAATTCTTTAATTAATCCTACAAAGAAAGTGCCAGGGATGACTTAGGCCCATTATAAATCTTGATTAATTTATAACATCTGCCCAAAATGCGTAAGGCCAAAAGACAAGGGTTAGCAAACACTTAATATGTAGTATGTTAAAACTCATTTAAGAATGGAGCACCTCTTTAGGTTTACTGTAACCTACAGCACTTTGATGTGTTTTGTTTACTCTGGACCGCCACGCCCCACACAGCTCAGGACCGCGCGGTACAGTAGCTCTGCTGGAGTCCCTGGGAGTTCGTCCTCCTCGCAGGGCCTGACGTGTACGTGTGTCTGTCTCTCCACAGCCGGAGGGCCTGCCCCGAGAGTACACCTACAGCGTCTTCTTCTGCCCCAACGGTCAGTACGCCAGAGCACCCTGAAAAACACCGTGCACCCCGTGTCATCGGCAGGGTCTTTTTACAATCGCTTGCTACTTAAAAACCGGTAGCGCTTAAATAATAGGGTCCTAGTCACCCAGTCTTCTCCCCAGTGTCAGCTTACGGGTCATTCCAGCCGAGCTCTGTTTTTCATATAGCTTCTCGTGAGCTTAATTACAGCTTCCTGGTATTTCTCATGAGGTATTCATCAGTTTTATTGCTTCAAATCCACAGCTTTCTGAGAGCTAAGTCACGTATCAATTAAGGTTTCAGTTAAATTACGAAGGGCTCAGAAGATAACAGGCTGAGCCGGGCCCTGCCTGTTGCCGATGCTCAGGAGTATCATTGTCTCGCTATTGTTCTGGTTTCTAAAATCCCCCCCACCCAGAGAAAATCCACATCTCCACGCCCAACAAGTACGAGTATCAGTACGTGAAGAAGCCGGGGCGCATGACGGGGTTCGTGGTGGCGGTGAAGGCGCACAACGACGCCCACGTCGCCCTGTCCGCCAGCGCGCACGACACGGCCGAGATGGTGGAGATCGTCATCGGAGGGCACCAGAACACGGGCACCTGGATCTCCCTGGGCAAGATGGGCGAGCCCGTGGCCAGCGCCGGCACGCCGGGCATCCTGTCCTGGGACGAGTTCCGCAGCTTCTGGATCAGCTGGGGCGGCGGCCGGGTCCAGGTGGGGGTCCAGGTGCCGCCTCTTCCTCCTCCCCCCTCCCCCCCCGCAGCGCCCGGGCTCACCAGGCTGAGGGCGAGGGGGGGGGGGTGTGACGGCTCGACTCTGCTGTGCCGCAGGTGGGCCACGGCGCGCAGCCCTCCGACGCCTCGGCCATCGTGGAGTGGGGGGGCGTGTCGCCCGGGCAGGTGAGGCACATCGGCTTCTCCACGGGCTGGGGCTCGGCGGGCGAGTTCAAGATCTGGCGCAAGGAGGACTCGGACGAGAACCACAACGAGGCGTTCACCCTGGGCGTGCCCCACAACATGGTGCCAGGCTCCGAGAGGGCCACCGCCTCCATGATCGGTGAGCGGACGCCCCTTGGGGTTGGGGGTACCCCATATTCCTCTAGAGCTGCAGGGCCTTTCCTGTCCCTAACCCCCTGAATCAATAACAGTTAATAATAATAACTCATTGCACTTCTATAGCGCTTTTCTGGACACGCCACTCAAAGCACTTTACAGGTAATGGGGATCCTCTCCACCCCCACCTGGATGATGTGCCAGTCCGCTCCCCACACACCAGCTCTCAGTGGGGAGGAGAGCAGAGTGATGAAGCCAGTTCAGAGAGGGGGATTATTAGGAGGCCATGATGGGTAAAGTCCAGGGGGAAATTTGGCCAGGACACTGGGGTAACACCCCTACTTTTTTCAAGAAACACCCTGGGATTCTTAAGGAAAAAGAGAGTCAGAGTACTTTTAACAGTACAGTGTCCCCATCACTATACTGGGGCATTAGGACCCACACAGACCGCAGGGTGAGCGCCCCCTGCTGGCCCCACTAACACCTCTGACCAGGCTCACACCTGCTGGGCTTCAGTGGGCTGCCAGCTGTGATCTGCAGAGTGACAGAGCTGTATTGACGGGGGACAGCCCGAGGTTCGAAGAGCCCTGTGAAACCGACTGGCCTCTCGCTGTCTGACCATGTGCTCTGCTCCCGCCCTGCCTCAGGGGACGTGATGGGCCCGACCCTCAACAATCTGGACAAACTCCTGCGCCTGCCCTTCGGCTGTGGGGAGCAGAACATGATCCACTTTGCCCCCAACGTGTTCGTCCTGCGTTACCTGAAGAAGACCCGGCAGCTCAGCCCGGAGGTGGAGACTGAGGCGACGGACTACCTGCTGCAAGGTGTGTAACTCACCTGGGAGACCCCCCCAGCTCAAGACGCTGTCGCTCGGTTAGAGCACACCCCCCTCGAGTTTGAGCCTGCAGCAAGGGCGATATTCGCAGTACGTCACGCCAAGGCAAGCTAATAATAATAATAATAATACAAAATAATTGCTTACACTTATATAGCGCTTTTCTGGAAACTCCACTCAAAGCGCTTTACAGGTAATGGGGATCCCCTCCACCACCACCAATGTGCAGCCCCACCTGGATGATGCTCCAGTCCTCTCACACACACACCAGCTCTCAGTGGGGAGGAGACCAGAGTGATGAAGCGAGTTCAGAGATCGGGATTTATTTGAAGGCCAGGGCCAGGGGGAAATTTGGCCAGGACGCCGGGGTTACACCCCTACTCTTTTCGAGAAACACCCTGGGATTTTTAATGACCACAGAGAGTCAGGACCTCGGTTTTACGTCTCATCCGAAGGACGGCGCCTGTTTACAGTATAGTGTCCCTGTCACTATACTGGGGCATTAGGACCCACATGGACCGCAGGGTGAGCGCCCCCTGCTGGCCCCACTAACACCTCTTCCAGCAGCAACCTTAGTTTTTCCCAGGAGGTCTCCCATCCAGGTACTGATCCAGAATTGCACATGTACACTCTCAGTCACACAAGCTGCACATAGCCTCACGCACACTGCAGTCATGCAAACAGAATCAGACCCAATGCCACAAAGTGCTGCATTCGTGTGGAGTCCGCACAGACACACAGCAGTCGCATATGGCCCACACACTATCTCAAACCCTTAGCTGTGGAAAATCATTTTAAAATGCCTGGAATTAAAATTCAAAAAGAATGGTGCTGGTATACAGGAATAAAAAAATAAATGAATGTTTTTCCATGAAATTAATCGGGAGGAAAAGCTGATTGAGAGTAAACAGTGCAGCACAGCTCAGGGACACAAAAGGTAGTATGTTTTTTTTTTAATTTGCACTGTAATTGCTTTAATTGCGGCACAGTTTATTTCCCAGAGCTGTGCTTTAAAGCTTAAGAGTGCGAAGAAAGAAGAGTGTGAACTGTCTCGGTTCATTTCCACCTCTGCCGCGGGCAGACATACAGGTCCTGACGTCTCTCTCTTTCTCCCCCTGCCCTTCAATCCCATCACCCCCCCCCTGCTCGCACAGGGTACCAGAGACAGCTGACGTACAAGCGGCAGGACGGCTCCTACAGCGCCTTCGGAGAGCGGGATTCCTCGGGGAGCATGTGGTGAGTGAGCTGAGGAGGAGAGCGCGGCTGTGCACCTGTGTGGGCAGCAGCTCTGGGCTCAGCCGATGGACCTGGGGCCTGGCTCTCCTTCTGTCATGTAGAACCTCCCACCCTGTGGGTGACCCCCCCCCCCCCCCCTAGTCCGGCACAGCCTGCCACTGTCACACAAATGTCCCCCTGATCCTGCTGGAACACGAGAAGAGATACAAATGAGGGGAGGTCCAGCCTGATGGCCTGCTAGTTGCCAATTGATCTAGGATCTCATCCAGATGTTTCTCGGAAGAAGACCAGGCTTCAGCAGCAAGACAGGGTAGATTGTGCCAGGCTCCCACAACCCTTTGTGTATAGAAGTGCCTCCTGTTCAGTCTTAAAGGCCCTGCCACATAGTTTCCCTTCATGACTAGGTCATCATGCGCCACCATCCTGCCACACGCTTTAGAATTTGTCAACACTTTGCAAGTTTCCCCTTGCCCCATTAGCCCACTTAGACTGGGCAGGGTTGCAGTATGGGTATAAAGCATGGAAGCTGAATTGTACTGCACACAATGCTTTAGTTAGGTGGCACAGTGGTGAGCATTGCTGCCTCGTAGTGCTGGGGCCCTGGGTTCGATTCCTGACCTGGGGTGCTGTCCGCGTGGAGCTTGTGTGTTCTCATGTTCGTGTGGGATTCCTCCCACAATCCCAAGAACATGGCAGGTTCATTGGCTTCTGGGAAAATTGCCCTTGAACGCGATCGACTTTGCCCCTATTTTGCATTTGCCAAAACCTACTCCTGTTCACGTTCAGATCAAGAATTGCAAAGGTTTCACTACTCAAGATCCAGTGGAGTGTGTGGGTGTGTGTGGATCTATGTCTACGTATGTGCCCCCTACACCCACAGAGCACCCCAGCAACCCCAGAATCGGCAGCTGTGGTTTCAGGCAATGGTACATGAGGAGGCCAGCACCCAGTACCCAGCACAGGGACAGAAATGAAAACAAAGAGGGGGGAAAAGTCACGATTCGTCCGGGGATACTGGCTGGGTGGGCCCCCAGTGTTCCTGAACCCTGTCAGTGTCCAAACTGAGAGCCCTGTGCGATGTGGAACTGTTTTCCTCCAGTATGCGGGCGGCGCTAGCGGTTTTATTTTCCAATTTGATTTTAAAATGCTCCGTGCACATCGACACATCAATGTGCAGCGCACGCATGTACATCACATGTAAACAGACACGGTGAGGGTGGGCCAGATTACACCACCTGCCCGTCCCAAAATAACAGAGGAATTGTCTTATTCTTCCACGGCTTTTCCACAGCTGGAATAGGAGACTCTGAATCAGCTAGGCGGGATTGGCGAGACGAGGCTTTGTCAGGTGTTTGTGCCTGCTCTGTTTGGTGCTCGGTGTTTTGGCACGGCTGTATTTAGGTCTGCACGAGAGGGGGTTCTGTACCGTAAAGAAATGTGGCACGTTTCCCTGGCTAGAACAGTAAGAGTTAAACACGATTCTCTGGGATTTCAAAACTGTGGTGACTAAATACCCAGGCATGCGCCTATGCAATTTATTAGCTGGGGGAGTGTTATTATATTTAATGGAGGCTCTTTCTATAAAACACTGAGTTAAGTAAACCCATGAGTATTATACATAAACTCGTAATTAGCTCCCTGACACAAGCAAGCGAGGCTGGAATGATTTATTTGCTGTTAAAGGCCAGGCTCCGGGTTGCTCCCAGTGGCACAGAACGGCCGTCTAATTACCTAGGTCTGCCAGCAGTACTCTGTAGTGGTTTGCCCCCATTTCCATTTCACTCACGAGTTTGCCTTGTTCAGGCCAACAAAGTGGGGTTTCTCTGTTTGACGCGGGGGAGCAGCAGAGCACAGTGCAGGTCGAAGCCTGCTTTAACCCCGTCTCTCCTGGAGCCTACACCAAGCGCCGCAGCCCACGGGGCTGGTGGGGAGGCAGCAAGCTCTCCGATTGGATAGGACAGCGGAGCAGACAATAGCATCCAGATCATTCTGTAGCGGGGGCCGGTCCGGGTTCCTGTGAGGCGTTGTTCGGGACCCTGTGCAGACGGTATAATCCGGAAGTGAGTGGAGTAGGGCAACGGGGAGCGGACGGCGAGGATCAGGGCAGGGTGACAGACGGGGGGGGGTGTGACGATGGTGATCTGGTGCTCGGGGGGGGCATGGCCAAGGCGATCTAGTCCAAGATGTCCAGGGGGGAAATCCGGGGCGAAGTCCAAGGTCCAGAACCGGGTGATCCATCTGAGACGAAACAAGACAAGGTTCAAAACAGGAACGGGATCCGGAGCAGGGACGGGGAATAAGAGAGGATGACGAGGCCGGCCGCGCCGAGCCCCGGACTCAGATGGGCAGGACGCCGTGGTCAAGCCTATGCCGTCGGGTCACTCCTGGACCCTCTGGTAGGCGGGCATCCGGGGGTCCCCCTCCCAATGCTGAGCCCAGAATAGTGAGAGCGCCAGGATTAAATAAGGAGGGGCTGGACTGGGGGCCGGAGCCCCCTTAAGAGGAGGGATGACGACCCTGACACATTCACACTGCTTCGCGCTCTCTCTCAGTCCTCTTTCCTGGGGTTCTGAAGAGACTCTACAGAAAAGGGTGTGTTAATAATAAATAAGCACTGTGTTCATATTGTGGCACTTTTCATGAAAAATAACAGCTTTTTATGGGGCGGTTACTGGCAGTTGTCTTGGGTGGGGCACTGCAGCTCCCAGAGCAGGCAGACGGACGCTGATGTCAGAAAGCTCTACTGGACAGGAGTGACGAGTCTAGCTGCTCATGTCCCTCATGAATTCCTGCAAGTGGGAGCGAAATAAAGGCATCGTCCCCTGTGTCATACATATCTCGCCCTCCACATTTCACAGTGAGCAGCCAGATTCACAGTTCCCCTTCCTGTGATGTCATCTCATCCCTGGAGAAGCAGCAGGATGAGATCAGCAGATCAAGTAGCTACTAACTACCAAACAGGCTAGACGGTGCCGAATCGCCCTTCTTGCTTAACACCATTCGGGGGTTCTTAATAGCACCTGAGGCGTTCATAATGAGCTGGTTCCTTGCGATTGTGCTGTCTGTGCCTGTGCTGAATGGCACTAATGTCACCAGCGTCTTCAGAGGGCAGGCACTAAGTTGAGCTGACGGGTGGCCCTGCAGCTCGACGAAGAAAAAGGCGAAATTATTTCCGGCAAAAAAAAACAAGTAATTTCCCACGATGCACTGCCACTGCCCCGGCTTCCCAGGGGCACCCTGAGTTGGCTGTCCTGTGTCGGTGCTGGGTTTTGTAGAGGAACCCGGCAGGCTCGGCTCAGAGCGTCAGGTGCTGATTGGATGTGGCGGTCCTCTTCCGGCCCGGGCTCCCAAGCCCGTGTCTGTTTCCAATAAGTGGGACACAGTGTTCTAATCCGCACGACCCCTCGGTGATTAATCCCCAATCCCTGCGGAGAGCCGCAGCACTGTGGAGAGCAGCTCCTGTTCTCCTGCGGACAGCTTCCGATGCCACAGCTTGTGCACTAGGATATCTGCTTTGCCTTTCTTAGTGATCGTACCCTGTTCACATTGCAGACGTGGACTATACAGAAGGAATGCTCTAGTCCTATTCCAGAGAGATATACAGTATTGCCTATTGCAGAGGATATACGCTATTCTTGTTGTAGAAGATATACATTATTCTTGTTCCAGAGACTATATCCTATTTCTATTGCAAAATATATATTATTCATATTCCAGAACATATACACTATTCTTATTTTTGGAGATACACACTATTCCTGTCGTGGAAGATATTCAGTATTACCATTCCAGAGGGTGTGCTTTATTCCTATTATACAGTAGAAGATATATACTTTTTGTGTTATAAAATATGTATAGGATTAACATGTATAATATATTAGTATATGTAGCAGTTGGTAAACTTGGTGTAACATCTTCTTAGTGTTTCTGAGTGGTGCTGGGTGTTACAATCCGCTGAGTGCCTTTTTATATGTTAAACTACATCAGCTCACAAGACATCGTCTTCTAAAGCAAAGCAAGGCTCCGAGCTCTAGCCCGATGAGCCCTCTCGCCTCTCCTCATCCACTAAATCATCTTTACAGCGTTCCTGCCCCCCCCCCCAGCCGGGGCTGTTAAACCTGGTGACACCATCTTACTTAACGGGCTAAAAATTCCTGCCTCCCTCCAGCCTCCTTCCCCAGCCACCCGCAGGGAGAGAGGTATCGTCCGGGATTTAGTGCTCTGGTTTATGAGCTTTCCTGGCTCGGGATTTTGTTTCGTTCTGTAACCCCAACCCCCTGCCCCCCCCCAAAAAAAACCAAGATGCTTTTTTTTGTAAATTCCGAGAGCTGCTTGCCTCATCAGTGGTGCTGCCTGGGGACTGGCTGCAGCAAAGCTGCGTGGTTTTGCAGTTAGGGCTCGTTAGCCCAATGAGGCTGTTCTGTGGCTTTGTTTTATGTGTTGACTTGCCAGCTGGGGTGCGTTCTGCACTTCGACACGCTTCTCGCCGACTTGAGCTGCGTCGAAGGCCAGAGACTTTACAGACTAAAACTGCAGCCCTGCGGCAGTGCGGCCAGTCCGCTGCTGACCCGTAGGTACTGTCCCGTAGATACCCATAGAGTGAGACCACAGCTCCAGGGCAGACCCAAACCACAATCCACACACCCCCTCTCTCTCCCAAGAGGGAGTCCTGATCTCTGGATGTAACAGCTGTCGATTATGTGCTGTTAATGTGTCCTGGGTTTCTGTATGTCTCTGAAGTCCGGACCACTCTCCCTCTCCCTCGATCCCCATCCCTCTGCCCTGAGCTGCCCCCTCTCCGTGTTCTTACCCAAACTCCTGCTTTTCATCCACATTTCCTCAGTCTCTCCCCCTATCTGCCCCGCTCTCTCTCTCTCTCTCTCCCCGTGACCGTGCGTCTCTGCCCGCAGGCTGACCGCGTTCGTGCTCAAGTCCTTCGCGCAGTCCCAGGCCTTCATCTTCATCGACCCCGCGGAGCTGCGTGCGGCCAAGGACTGGATCATCACGCAGCAGAGGGAGGATGGCTCCTTCCCTGCCGTGGGCCGCATCCTCAACAAGGACCTGCAGGTGAGCTGGGGGGAGCAGCTCTCTGTCAGGGGCACACTGGAGCACTGCC